CTACAGCTGAAGGAAAAGTTCAGCTTTGGCTGACCATACTAACAGTAACTTAGGACAAGACAGCACACAAACATAACTGTCACACTTATAGCGCACCTACAGCTGAAGGTAAAGTTCAGCTTTGGCTGACCATACTAACAGTAACTTAGGACAAGACTGCACACAAATATAACTGTCACACTTATAGCGCACCTACAGCTGAAGGTAAAGTTCAGCTTTGGCTGACCATACTAACAGTAAGTTAGGACAAGACCGCACACAAACATAACTCCTCCTTAACTTTAATGAATAATTTTTAATAATAAAAACATACAATGTTGTATATCTAAACCTCTTTTCCTGCCAAACTAGCACTGGTTTTATCTTTTTGTTGTTTTTTTATTTTCAACAACACAAAATTTGTAAAGCATACTGAACACTTTCTGCAACAATTTTTGAAACTCACTGTACAAAGTCAAAGTTTTCTTGACCAAACCTTATAATTCTCAATATATCTCTGGTGAAATTTATCTCCCTAGGAAAAGTAGTTTTTAAGATACAATCATTTAAAAATATGCATTTCTTTATAATCATCCCATAAATTCAGTATATTGGTACAAACTTTATATTTTTATGCTGTAACTTAGCTGTTAACTAGAGGGTGGCATGATATTTAGACTAAAAAGTTTAAGTTTTTTTTCTAGTCAATAGAGTTCAATCAGAAAGTGTTTTGTTTTCAGTTACTTGATTGATCTGCTGTGAAGTTGCACAAGTATGTTTATTTTTATACTAGTGTAGTATAGTTAGCATGGCTGTAAATGAGGCTTACACGTTACCACAGTGTTTAAGCTTGTAGAAACATGTTATTGTTAGTGGACAGGACATTAAATTATTTTCCTCACCATCATCTGAAAATTACGATAAACAACACCACAACAATGAAGAAGTTGAAATGCAACTACTTTAGCGATATATTTCATACAAATTACATCATAAATTTAACGTTGTATCAATAATGTGTTTATCTATTTTTACTGAAGTCACATTCTTAAAGGTTATTAATCGTCACTGACATAATCAAGTAAATCAACAAAGTCAAAGTTTAAAACCAAGCATCACAAAAAAGTTTCATAATTCAATACTTTAAAAATTGTAGTGTTACTTACAGGTAACCCCATTGGGCCTAAGTTTCCTGTGTTTCCCTTCTCACCCTATATGAAGAGAATTTCAATTCAGAATTAATTGCATCAAGATGTATATTTAGTGAACTTGCCATCCTGCCCCCATCTTTATTTTGTTTTCAGGGCATTTGTCTTTAGAAACATTTACAATATACACTTGTGATAAACAGATTATAATCACACCAGGAAATTTCACGTACTAGTTTATAGTTTCTGTTTTGAAATATTTTTGCTTTACTTTCCTGTATATACAAATAATTTTTTCTGATGTAGTATGTAGCTTCAGCAAAAAAACTCTAAAAGTAATGTAAATAGCCATGGAGACAAACAATTTAAACAGGTGAACATCATTAAGAACTTAGAACTTACAGGTTCTCCTTTCTCCCCATCTTTTCCTTTGTCACCCTTTATTCCTGGTGGACCCTGTATCCCCCTGATACCCTGACAAAATAATTTTTCATTATATTTGGTAAAAAAATTGTTAGTTACACGAAGAAATGTACAACAAGACTAAAGTTTTAAACCTTCAATCAAAAGACTTACCGGTACTAGGACTAAACTTATTCAGATGAAATACTGTGTGATGAAACATTATCTTTAAACAGCAACTTAGAAGTACAAACTATAAATCAAAATCAAACTGCTTAACAGCCACTTCCAAAAAAAAAAGGAATATACCTATAAAAATGGTGAAATAATTTAGTTGAAACAATGTGTATAAAAAATGTTTGTTTGTAAAAAGGGGGCTGTAGTGTTATATTACTTGTAGTTAATGACTGACATTTATCTGGGCATGTCATACTACATAATGTTGTCTAACATGTTACTATTGAATTGTTAACTATTTCCTGTCATACAACATAATGTTGTCTAACATGTTACTATTGAATTGTTAACTATTTCCTGTCATACTACATAATGTTGTCTAACATGTTACTATTGAATTGTTAACTATTTCCTGTCATACTACATAATGTTGTCTAACATGTTACTATTGAATTGTTAACTATTTCCTGTCATACTACATAATGTTGTCTAACATGTTACTATTGAATTGTTAACTATTTCCTGTCATACAACATAATGTTGTCTAACATGTTACTATTGAATTGTTAACTATTTCCTGTCGTACTACATAATGTTGTCTAACATGTTACTATTGAACTGTTAACTATTTCCTGTCATACTACATAATATTGTCTAACATGTTACTATTGAATTGTTAACTATTTCCTGTCATACTACATAATGTTGTCTAACATGTTACTATTGAACTGTTAACTATTTCCTGTAAAAAGGTGTGAAATATAAAATATCTGTTGATAGCTAAGGTTACGTAAAAAGTATTACAGCTGTAATTTAACATTAGATCTACAAAACATATGTATTACAGCTGTAATTTAACATTAGATCTACAAAATGTATGTATTACAGCTGTAATTTAACATTAGATCTACAAAACGTATGTATTACAGCTGTAATTTAACATTAGATCTACAAAACGTATGTATTACAGCTGTAATTTAACATTAGATCTACAAAACGTATGTATTAAACTACATATTACATCCTGTCTCACTGTTATTCTTCTGAACCAACTCCATAATACATAAGTTATGAACTGTGTTTATTTACTGATTCTGTCTGTTACTTAGCTATTAGAGTTCTATGAAAACATGTATTTAAAGTTTTAAAAAAATTGCTGCAGATATGTCTACTACAAACCACCTGCAACAGCTACAGTATAAATTTTCTGGTCACTTTGCTGATCAAAATTTTGTTGGGAGAAAATAGCCCTAAATGTTGTTTTCTGTAAGCCTCACTAAAAATAGCTTTTGGGTGTGAAGGTTATATTTTTTTCTAGTCTGACTTGCTAATGACCAGCTATCACCTCAACATATCTTTTAATTCATAACCGTGAATTTCAGCTTCATCAGTATCCCTTTTTTCTGAATAATTAAAGATGTTAAAAACATCAAAATGGGTTACAATTACATCTGATTAAGACATATTATAACATATTAATCTATGAGATCTTGTTCCCTTTTATTAGCTATATATTTGTGCACAAGCAATACTAAGGATGGGGCACACACACACATATATACCCAATTCAGTTTTATTAGTCATCAGGATCTCTAACAGTATTTTTGTTTTTATTAGGCAGGATTAGAGTAAATTCATCTATGAGACTTTGGCGATGATCAAATACATCACTCGAATAGGTTTGACCTTCCGAGTCCAAACTGTAATTAGATCTCATCTTGGTCAAGGAAAGATGGAGCTATAAGTTAAATATTTGTACTTGAAAAACTCAGAGTCATTCTATGAGATGCTATGCCATAGCTAAAAATTCATAAAACATGATTAACTAAAGTGTGATTAATACAAGCCTAATTGAGATATGGTACTACTAGAGAAGATTTCAGGGACAACACTTGGTTTACATAAGTAAGTAAAGTATCAAAACAAAGTAACTAGTAACTGAGTGGGATATTATTCAATAACATTTCAGTTGTTAAATTTTAAGTTTTATACTTACTGGTGGACCAGGTGGCCCTGGTGGACCTGTTATCTGAAAACACAAACATTTGTATGTATTAATTATATGTTTTAAGAATTCTTCATTTAACACATTAATGTGCAACCTGACACTAATTTATTAAAATAAATAAGATAAATCAATTATCATGATTTACACACTACAGTTGTAGTAAATCAATAAACATGATTTACACATTACAGTTGTAGTAAATCAATTATCATGATTTACACACTACAGTTGTAGTAAATCAATAAACATGATTTACACACTGCAGTTGTAGTAAATCAATAAACATGATTTACACACTACAGTTGTAGTAAATCAATAAACATGATTTACACACTACAGTTGTAGTAAATCAATAAACATGATTTACACACTACAGTTGTAGTAAATCAATAAACATGATTTACACACTACAGTTGTAGTAAATCAATAAACATGATTTACACACTACAGTTGTAGTAAATCAATAAACATGATTTACACACTGCAGTTGTAGTAAATCAATAAACATGATTTAAACAAAACATACATGGTAAGGCAAATGAACATATATTAAAGATTATCAACTGTCATCCTCAGGAGTTGTAATGTCAAAACAGGTAGAGTCGTCAACTTTTTGAAGGCCATAGATAGGCCATAGATAAACTGTACCAGTTTAACATTGAATATTATTTATGATTTTAACTTTATATACAAGTGCCAAAATACTATAATTAAGTAAAATACGTTATTATAAACATTAATCTGCAGGTTTCACAAGGGCCAGAAAAATATCCCAAAATATAAATCAAAGTGCAGGAAAACGTGGGTTGTTGAAAACTTCTTAATTGTAACTGTGGCTTTAACAACATAAAATGTTTTACAAATTATGTCTACAATACATAAACATATATTAATCTATTTCATTAGCTTTACTAAAGTAATTATAGAAATTTTACTACTAAACTGCTTGTTAGGCTTAGTTAACAAAAACACTATATAAATAAGCTTCATATATTTTAAAGATCTATATGAATGAAAGACGCATACAGTAAGTTACAAAGTGCCAGTATGATAAACTAATCAACACAATATCAGTTGCAGAATCTCAGTGTGATATCTTAATCAACATAATATCAGTTACAGAGTGCCAGTATGATAAACTAATCAACACAATATCAGTTGCAGAATCTCAGTGTGATATCTTAATCAACATAATATCAGTTACAGAATGCCAATATTATAGACTAATCAACATATCAGTTACAGAATACCAATATAATAGACTAATCAACATATCAGTTACTGAATGTCTGTATGATATACTAATCAATATAATATCAGTTACACAGTGTGTGTATGATATTGTACTTACAAAGTCTTTTGCTCCTTCTAGGCTCCGGCTATCCTGAAAAAGAAAATTAACATTAAGAAATATTATACCTTAGTATTCATCATGAAATCTACTCTATAGGATCACAATGTTTAATCACTTAGTTTTTTCTGTTTTTGTTAAGTAAAACAAGAATATATATCACAGTAAACTGATTAACCTTTATTAACCTTTAGTAAAATAGGTAAGATGTTTGGACGTATGCATATCTTATACTTTTACATTCCTGAAAGCTTGTAATATAGTAAAATAGGTAAGATGTTTGGACGTATGCATATCTTATACTTTTACATTCGCGAAAGCTTGTAATGTAGTAAAATAGGTAAGATGTTTGGACGTATGCATGTCTTATAATTTTACATTCGCGAAAGCTTGTAATGTAGTAAAATAGGTAAGATGTTTGGACGTATGCATATCTTATACTTTTACATTCGCGAAAGCTTGTAATGTAGTAAAATGGGTAAGATGTTTGGACGTATGCATGTCTTATACTTTTACATTCCTGAAAGCTTGTAATGTAGTAAAATGGGTAAGATGTTTGGACGTATGCATGTCTTATACTTTTACATTCCCGAAAGCTTGTAATGTAGTAAAATAGGTAAGATGTTTGGATGTATGCATATCTTATACTTCTACATTCCCGAAAGCTTGTAATGTAGTAAAATGGGTAAGATGTTTGGACGTATGCATGTCTTATACTTTTACATTCCCGAAAGCTTGTAATGTAATAAAATAGGTAAGATGTTTGGACGTATGCATATCTTATACTTTTACATTCCTTAAAGCTTGTAATGTAGTAAAATGGGTAAGATGTTTTGACGTATGCATATCTTATACTTTTACCTTCCCAAAAGCTTGTAATGTAGTAAAATGGGTAAGGTGTTTGGACGTATGCATATCTTATACTTTTACATTCCTGAAAGCTTGTAATGTAGTAAAATGGGTAAGATGTTTGGACGTATGCATATCTTATACTTTTACATTCCTGAAAGCTTGTAATGTAGTAAAATGGGTAAGATGTTTGGACGTATGCATATCTTATACTTTTACATTCCTGAAAGCTTGTAATGTAGTAAAATAAGTAAGATGTTTGGATGTATGCATGTCTTACTCTTTTACATTCCTGAAAGCTTGTAATGTAGTAAAATGGGTAAGATGTTTGGACGTATGCATATCTTACACTTTTACATTCCTGAAAGCTTGTAATGTAGTAAAATAGGTAAGATGTTTTGACGTATGCATATCTTATACTTTTACATTCCTGAAAGCTTGTAATGTAGTAAAATGGGTAAGATGTTTGGACGTATGCATGTCTTATACTTTTACCTTCCCAAAAGCTTGTAATGTAGTAAAATGGGTAAGATGTTTGGACGTATGCATATCTTATACTTTTACATTCCTGAAAGCTTGTAATGTAGTAAAATAAGTAAGATGTTTGGATGTATGCATATCTTACTCTTTTACATTCGTGAAAGAAAACCTGAGTCTATTCAGTTTTTTTTACTAAATTTAACACATGAGTTTTGATCATTTTTTGGTGGTAAGTTTTGATATAAAAACATATAAACTCACACTGGGTAACAAAAACAACTAAGACCTAGGTTTTAAAGATGGTCAGCAGAGATAGACCATTGCTGCAGATTACAACCCAATGAAGGTTTACACGATTGTAGATGTGGATGATGGGAGAAATCTAGGAGTAGCTTTCACATATTTATACTCTATTCCACCAAGGTAGAAGTTGAGCATCAAACATAGCAAGGTTTTAACAAATCATCTTTCATGCTTAATGTTACAGTTTAGGAATTTATTAACCCAAGTACTTTTGGAAGTGGAACTACCTTCATCAAGAATAAATGTCCCTGGTGAAGGAAAATCCACTTTCCAAAAGTGTTCAAGATGCTAACTTTTCCTCTTGATCCTGTGTGCTTTGGAATATCACGAGATTAAGAAATCAAATATAGGAATATAAGTACTAGTGTTTCAAATCATGGAAAGGCTAGAACATTCTGTAACATTTAAGTTAATCAATTACATTCAATATATATCAGAAAATTTTGAACATTCTTTTTAGTTCTAGGAATATACAAAAATACTTGTGAAAAGTACCGACTCTGTGAGCTACGATTTCTAGATTCTGTGTTCTGAACATACATAAGGTAATAGAAAACACGTTGAAAGAAGAAATTCCACCCATTAATAAAATAAAACTTCCAAACAAAACTCAGCAAAGAAGACTAAATGAATAAAAATGTCATTATTTAGAAATCTTCAACTTACCTGTTGAATATATCTCACAGAAGACTGTTAAAAAAGAAATATTAAACCATTAATTAATCTAAAACTGATACAAAATCTGAAGAACAAACAGAATACTTTCTAATTACAAAACTATTTTTATTCATACAGATAACAAAGACAGATATTACACTAAGTTACAAGTTTGTCATGAGGCCAATATTTAATAAATTTTGATGAAAGAATGCCAATTCACATGTAATTCTCATATTGCAAAGTTCTTCTAAGATCAAAATAAAGCCAAAATAACAATTTTTTGGGGAAAATCCTAAATTTTAGTAATCTCTCAGAAAGACAAGCCAAGTTATCTATAAAAATGTTAAGGTCTCTGATCAATGAATAATGGATAAAATGTTAAGGTCTCTGATCAATGAATAATGGATAAAATGTTAAGGTCTGATCAATGAATAATGGATAAAATGTTAAGGTCTCTGATCAATGAATAATGGATAAAATGTTAAGGTCTCTGATCAATGAATAATGGATCAAATGTCAAGGTCTCTGATCAATGAATAAAATGTTAAGGTCTCTGATCAATGAATAAAGGATAAAATGTTAAGGTCTCTGATCAATGAATAATGGATAAAATGTTAAGGTCTCTGATCAATGAATAATGTATAAAATGTTAAGGTCTCTGATCAATGAATAATGGATAAAATGTTAAGGTCTCTGATCAATGAATAATGGATAAAATGTTAAGGTCTCTGATCAAAGAATAATGGATAAAATGAAACTTTACATCACCACACAAGTGTGTGTTTACTGTGAACTTTTGATACAAATTGTAATATCTGGACCTCGAACTGAAACTAAAATGGATTTCAAGGTGCTTATTACTGCTACAAATTGTAATACTTGGACCTAGAACTGAAACTATAAAGGATTTCAAGGTGCTTATTACTACTACAAATTGTAATACTTGGACCTAGAACTGAAACCCTAAAGGATTTCAAGGTGCTTATTACTGCTACAAAATGTAATATGTCAGCTATAACCATCCACCAATAGATCTGTTCCCATTCTCTTGGTTTGTTATGTTTCTATGTCAGCTATAACCATCCACTAATAGATCTGTTCTCTTGGATTGTTATGTTTCTATGTCAGCAATAACCATCCACCAATAGATCTGTTGTCTTGGATTGTTATGTTTCTATGTCAGCTATAACCATCCACCAATAGATCTGTTGTCTTGGATTGCTATGTTTCTATGTCAGCTATAACCATCCACTAATAGATCTGTTCCCATTCTCTTGGTTTGTTAGTTGAAATTTCTATGTCAGATTTTTCTTCATTTAATTTTGCTAAAGAATGTTTTCTAACTATTATAAATGTTGAAGTTCTAGAAGATAAAATCTGACAAGAGAACTTAGAAGTACACTGTTAAGTTTTGGCAGATGATATCTAAGGACTTTAATGTAAACTATGATGTTTTTAACATACGAGATCTGAGAAAAGGACTTGCGTGTAATTATTAAGATTTTTCTGATGAAATCTTACAAGAGATCCTACATATAAGTAAGTTAAGACCTTATAATTAGACCTGAGATATAAATAAACATTTTGATGTAATCTTCGACAGAACATACCAAACATAATTCTGTTGTGTGTTTTCCATTAAAACTCTAAATCAATTCATATTTCCAAAACTGATAACCTGAAGCCACAATATCCTTTACAAATCTCCAGATAAATGTCAGTAACTGTTTCTCAAAGATCACTAGTTCTGAATTATTAGTTTTTAAATATTTAACTGACAATATATTTTAATATATCTTTTACTTTTTCATTAAGTGTTAGTTTTGATGCTATTTTCGACTCTGTTTTTGCTAAAATTGTACTGCTTATTTATAACATCTTTTTTTTTTATCTTTTAAAATGATCTCATGAAACTGTCTACAGTCAAACTCAAATACAAAATTATGAAAGTATCTGGACATAATGTTGAAGTAAGTCTTATTTCAAAAGATCACATATAAATATTGTAATTAACCAATCAACTGTGCTAGCAGTATGTTGTTTCTGGTTTGAAAAGTGATACTGGCATCATTTGTTAATATTTGTTAAATATTGGAAACAAGAAGACAGCAGCTGAGAGAGGCCATACATTAGTAACAAGAATTTAATAAAAAGTGAGTGTTAATTATATTAAAATCTTGCTGCTTATCAACCATAATAAGGCACTGATCTTAAAAACCAATAAATGTGTATGACTGCAATCAAATCTCACTGCTTCTAGTTCTTGTTGAGCCAGAAATCTCAAGATTCTAACTTTGAGTAAGTATCGTTAAAAAATGCACAAGCAGTTAAAGAGAAAACATAATGTTGAGTAAAGATTAAATAATAAAGAATGTTTAATTTTGTTATTGGAACTTGCATTTTTGTAATCTTGGCAGAGTTTCTAAATATAACCTTAAAGTATTCAATTTTTTTCTAGAATAATAAGTGGGTGTCTGGGATATTTCAAATATTATAGACATTAATTCACACTACAAATATTCAGAAATCAAGATATGTTTAATATCTTTGTCCAAGTAAGGTTTTTCTAGGTAAAAGTTTGTTTTAAATAAATTTTGTATGAGGCCTGATTTTTAGTACCAAAATTACTCTGAGTTGATAATTGATAATGATTTGTTCTCTCATGACAAAAAATTTTATTATCTCATCAACGCTTTTCTTTCCTCAGCTTAGTTGTAACGTATACTTAAATATATATTTTAAAATATCATATCTACACTTGTTTTCAATAAATGATATCTAGTATTAAGTTGCATAACAATTTATCATCAGGAAAGTCATCATGCACACACCTATCAGAATATCACTTACAATTAAACTATCACAATCTAAAAAAGATTGTAAATTTTGGATGCTGTGTATTAATCTTCAAGTAGATATCTAGATCTACAAAACATAGATAATACAAATTGTGATAGAGAAAAGTTACTGTCTATTAAATTTACTTTAAAGCAAATAAGATATGAATTACTCTTGGAGAAAATACTTAGTTTTACGTTGCGTGTATATATATACAAAGTCAAACCAAAGCATGCACACATATATTAGTATATATCATGCATGGTAAATGTGACCACTATACCTACCGTAGCACCTTTTTCACCTTTGCTTCCATCCCTGCCTGCTTTGCCCTATCACCATGCAAAGTGACAAAAAAAGTAAAACAAAACACACAAGTTACTTTATGTGTACAGAAGATATAG